AATAACACGCCCTATTATACCTGCATACAATGCAAGCCCCCCTCCCTCATATATTCCTCCCCCTGGGGATGGGCTGCGGAGACGCACTCCGCTCCGGTTGCACAACATACTCGATATGATCCAGCGGCGACTCCGACCCATCATCCTCAAAAGTAGTGCTTGTCGCCTGCTGCGTCGTAACGCGGGGTTCCTCCTTGTTCACCTCTGAGACACCCATGACTCTATCCCCGCTCTGCTCCTGCGGTTTGATGATCCCCATCTCGACGTACCGGGCCATATCCTCCCTATCTCTGTCGATCGGAGATCCCCGACCTGTAATCTCCCTCGCGAACGAACGCAGCCGCTGCTTCTTCCACCACGGTGGATTTCGCTGTCCGATGCCCTCGTCGTTGGCTAACACGGATTCTAGCTCCCCGCGTTGTGCGATAAGTGCCTTGTCTTCGTTTAGCTCGCAGTAGCCGCAGATATTGAAGAGGAGAATGATGAGCAGGGCGGGGGTATAGCCTAGGCCATAGATCCAGGCGGACTGGACGTCGTATTTCAGCGGCGAGAGGGTCCAATCGAAGGCTGAAGCGATGGCGTAACCGATTTTGATTCCCAGGATGGCGATGGCGAGGAGGAATTGCGAGGGCGCGGCGTTTAAATAGAAGAGGAGTTGGCCGACTATGCTTGATGGGCGGGGTTTGTAGCGGTAGATGCTGTGTTCGAGGCTGTAGGTTATCACCAGCATTCCAGCAAGGGCTATGAAGCCTGCTACGCGCCAGCGGGTGTCTGTTGCCACTGGGCGGGCGTTGAGGGTCTGTTGCTCTTCACTGTGTTGGAGCTCGATGGCGGACCAGCTGCGGGGTACAGTGAGGATGAAGTTTAAGAGGGCGAGGACGTAGAAGAGGATAGGGAGGAGGGTTTCCTGCCGACTGCGTGTGCTGGCTTTGGTGAAGGCGTAAGGGTCGCGGTCGTGGATTTGGCGGGCTTGCCATCTTGCCCTGTGTTTTTCATCTTAGCTGCTTGGCTGGCTGGTTGGTTTGTGAAGGTAGGGGGTTTTACCAGTGTCGGACGGCTTCCCAGACTGCAGCCATTAGACCCGGGGTTAGGAGTGTGTAGAATACGCTTTGGAGGATCAGGGGTGCGCTTTGGAGGTAGTTTCTATCGACATCGATGCTCATGAAGCAGCTGATGGCGCCGCAGACAGCGACAAATATGAGCCAGCACCATTTAAGTCGTCGGCTTACGATGTTCCAGCGACGGTCGTGCGGCAGGTAACTCCGGCCGTGCTTGCGGAGGTTACGGAGGCTGAGGAAGATGGTGATGACGAACATCAGGGCATATGCTAGGCCGAGAGACGCATGTTGGCCGATATCGTTGATAGGCGCGTAGCACGAGGTTCCATTGATGAATGTGCCATTCTCATCGAACATATGAGGCCTGAATCGCTGGAACGCTAGGAAGCAGTTCGTGCCATTGGACAGTGTCCCGTTGGTGTAGAGCCTGTAGTTGTAGGTATCGAGCGCGGTTCGATTGAAGTGCACTTCGTTGATTATCACATCGGTACCGTTGTCACCAGGTTGGTAGGGGGCTAGTCCCCGTATGTACAACAGCGTCATAATGAATGAGCTGTGTATTTACAGCCCATCACCGGCGAGAGATATGCAGCGATTTTATCTGTACGGCAGCTCAATGCTGCGTTCCCGTCGCGGGCACTGATGGCAGCAATTGCGCCTTGATAAGGAAAAGAGAGCTGCGAGCAGCATAATTGCAACCGCGGAAAACTCGGAGGCTGATAGAGGCATGACGAGAGATGAGGTCGCATTCAGGGCACAGTCTATGATGCGTAGAGTGGCCCTGCGATCCAACGGGGAGACCTAATCGGATCCGCGGTTCAAAGTCATATCACATACCGTGCCACAGATCAGCCACGAGGAACCATAAATATGCTCCGAAAGGGTCTAACTCCTGTTCAGTGATTGCGGTTTGCAGAAGTTTCTTGCCTCATTGGGAAGTGGTGAAGTCGCTCCATGATATGCATGTGACGAGAATGAGTCTTATCGATAAGATCAGAGATAAGAGAAAATCCTCTTATCGTGACGCTTACATAAGACCAGTAGAGCAGTCCCGATCGGGATAAATCAACACTACAGGTCACAGGGAATTTCATTCTCTTCTCATGCACCACGGAGAAACTAGAGAATGCAACAGAAACACTCTCCAGAGAAACGCCTACCCCTGTCGAAATGATATCAGATGATAGGCAGACGACAGATGAGACATCACACTGCCCCGGGCACACATCCGTTCTCCACCCCGCGCGAGGGAGCTGCACTTTACGACCCCAGCATGCGTATCATTGCGACGTGTGAGAAGAGCACAAGCCGAGGATCATCGACTTGCAGGAGCACAGCCGGTTCAAAATGAGGCATTTCCTGGTATGCGGGTGATTCTCTGCCGGGTCCAGGGCCAGCCACTTTCTCTTTTCTTTTTTTCTGGGTACGGAGGTAATGCACCCATTCCATACCCCAGACCAAGTTCATGCTCAGCATGATTCGGCCGTTTCACGATCCCACGCCGAATACGAACCTTAACTCAATTCAACTAGTGAGCATCATGATCGGAGAATGCATAGGTCATCATTTTTCTTTTTTTTCCAACTCCTTTTGCCCCTTGGCATTCATCGTATCGCTCCTCTCTGTATGTGGCGTTTCCTCTGTTTGGAGTTGACAAGGATCCTCTACCTATCTCCAAGGTAACGGCTTGGATCGTATACAGAATACATGCAAACAAGGAGTTGGTGTCTTCATGCAAGGACAGGCGCCCTCGTTTTATCAATTGGAGTGAACTTGTCGCCTTAAAGCAATATGGTTTGAGTAACGCTTCTTCGTATAGGACATCGGTCAGTGACACCTGTATTGCTTGCATGTGATTACACTGTGCAGTCACACGGATACCCATTGAAGTATTCGAATATGCTACAGTGGCTGCGTGTAAGAATTAAAGGGAGGAACTCTGCGCTCTGAGGCCACAACTTGAGGATTCAAATGTCAGCTGTCAGTGTCTACAAATGATTCTGGGAGGCAAAGAGAGAAGAACCTTGGGTATGACGTAACTTGATCTATTTCCCGAGATATGGAATCTGGAGTTGAAGGATGATGCACGGATAATTGATAGAGCACATATCCCCTTGTTCCTATTTCTCTTGAAGCTCGTTTACTCCACCTCCAACCCTATGACATTATGCTTGAACATGTCAGTCTTGATCAAAGTATACACTAGTTTGATACCTCATCCTAGGACTTGACAATGACAAAACCAAAAGCAGGTAGTCAGGATGATACAGCAATACGAAACAAGTTAACCCTGAGGATGCTTCTCCCCTTGCGACAATATCCCGTCCTTGAAAAAGCAAAAACAGATATACAATCAGACAAGTACTAAATCTCCAATTGTTGGCTGGGCATTCAAGCGATACCCTGGATCAACACATGCCTAGTATACTTGATCTGGTCCATAACATAATAACCTCGATCACAGCCCGATCTATAGGCCAGACACCCTCAGGCACAGTCCACAATCTGACCTATCCAGTCAGAAGCAAGATTTCATCAAGTAGTAATTACTTCTCCCTGCTTTGCGGCATTTACCATTCAGGCCAAGCGCGGTCATGGTATACAGGAGGCATGCCACCAGCATTCGGCCAGGATGTGGTATAATCCGAGAGAACCAAGACAAGATAGATTAAACCAGGTCATAGATCTATCTACTATACACGGACTCGCCGGTTTGCACGCGGGAACCTTGCTCCAAGAAGCATAGACCAGATTATTCAAGCTCTGTAGCCCCCTGCCGCATCTTCATCAGTTTCAAAACCATCGGTAATGCATCCTGCAGAACACCCACAGTATTTCCCAAGCTCTATCGTGTGCCAAAACCCCTGGCCCAAACCCGGTTTATTTTCTCAAATCACTTCCCCTTGCCAAATGCCCTATGATGTCATGTACATTCAAAACTGACCGTATCATTTTAGTCATTGAAATCTGGCACATTTCTTCCCACCCCAAAATGATGGCCTTATTGTGGATCCGCGCAAGATCTTCTCCCAAGTTTAACTGACTCCCACGGCGGACACGCGACCTCCATTCGCGGGCGTGATATGAAACAGGCAGATCAGAATATAAAAGCGATGATTGGCGACTTCGCTATGCTAGAATACGGGGCTTGCCACGAATCCCTAGAAAGAAATTTGGGGGCAAGTACAGTACTTTTACGACAATAATTTGGTGCCCAACAAGTTTTTTTTGTCATTGTGCGTACTTGACACGCTTATGTGTAATGAATGGGTTTTGTTAGGCACCTTTAGGTTTCTATACAGGGCGTTATAGTTTGTTCCAGACCCGTCTGTTTGGCAGTGATATTTTTTTTTTCCCTATGAGTCATGTTCTGGGTATGTGCGACTTGCACTGGAGGCGAAAGATGAGGTTGAGGGCTGACACCAATGAACGAACGGAGAGTAAGAGATCTTCTTGACAGACATGATCGTCCAGTGAGAAGATCGTAATGGACTATTTTGGGTTCTGTGAAGTTGGAGTATTCTTCCAGATATCCAGTGAAATTGGTCAATGGCAGCGAAGGGTGGGTCTGGGTTGTGGCCTAAATTATTTTAGTCATGATTAATCGTCCAGGTTGGGAGAGCTGAGACTCGAGAGAGCCTTGTGGATTCATTCTGTGCGGCCATTTTCTTTTTGTACAAGTCGAGAGAGAAAGAAGGATGGCAGATGCTTCGGGACTTGTTGGGCTTTTCTTTTCCTGCACTGAAGTTTAAATCAATCTGACCCCACAGTCGAAAGAAACAATTATGCGATCCATGGAAGAGGGTATATATCCTAGTGGAGACATTTCCCACGATGTTCTATATCAGACACAACTAGAGCGAAGAAACGAGACAACCTGTATCAACATAAAACATAAAACATATAGCTTATTAATTCAATCATGTTTCGCATAAGGAATGTCTATCCGAAGCTATCCTTAGCTACCCATGTCTCTTACCTATTTAAGCCCGGTGGAGTCCACAACCAACACTTGCAATGTATGTACATCCAACAAGCCCGCGACTCAGGTGTCTCCACATATCACCCAGAACCAGAACCAGAAAGCCCCAACCATCTTGCCTCCCCGAAGAACCACCGCCAACCGCATCCACCGTCCTTCTCACCCAACCGGGATAGTTCCAAGCCTCACTTCCCATGCGGCCGTGCACAGAACAGAAAGCGACCGAACATCTTGGAAAGAAACTAAGAAACTAGATAAATCGAAAAAGGGATTTAAGGTCACTTAGACTTCGCCCCGTAGCTAAATCGCGCCATCGGGTCCGCTTTTGATAGGCTCGACTTCGGCTCACTTACCCCTGTGGTTTGTGACGGACACGAGGTCATGTGGTCTGGGTCGTGTTCTCGGGCGGTTCGGTACGAGGCAGTACTCAGGTACAGTACATACCGATATTGCGGGAATAGTACATACATGCTTGACTACTGGTAAGGTAGAGATGAACACTGCCAACAGCAAGGAAAGCTATATACAAGCATAAAGTGCTCAACAGGGTGTCGAAGAGCAGAGAAAAAGAGGCTACACAGTCTAATGCCACAGACACTTTGTTAACCGCTCAGCAGCAATAAATCTCAATAGCAACCGAGTTCACGCATAAGATGATACTTATTATACTTACTTCTTCGTGAAGGTCGATCCCTGGGTAGCCTCATCCTGAATCTTCCGTCTAAATACGGGGTAAGTCAGGCTGGCCCCTGTCAACTCCGCATTTACGCAAGGGAGTACCGGATGACGAAGACCAACAGGAATGAAGTAGAGGCAACAAAAAAAGCTTGAGGGGGGTAGGTAAGATGTTGCTCATCTGCAATGAACAGACACCAGAGGGAAAGTTTGTTCCCCAGCCACAAGTTGCTCCGCGGGATGAGAGACTGGGGCTCTGGTTGCCTGCACATGGATCTCATCAAGAAGGATGGGAGACGAGATCACACACACCCCTCTTTTACGGGAATACCCTTCTGTTGGCTCCACTGGATTCGTGTGTTCCCCAAATCGCGGTGGATGAAGGACCGGGACTTAATCCTTCGGGGCACAAAAAATACTGTATACAAAAGAAGCGAGTCATGTCCTTCCGGATGGCGGTGGTGATCTTAATAGTTCAACTAAGGTTCAGTTCGTTGCCTTTAGTCTGAATTGGACTGCTAATGCATACAGTAGTTGGATATGGAGTGCATAAAGACACATACATTTTTATTTTTTTTTATTTTTCTCAGTGGGGCTTGTTGTTTCACTAACATTCTTTGATGCTTATTACATTGTCGTGGTCACCTGTGTCAGGTTAAATATGTGCAGGTGAGCCGTTATAAATGGTCTTCGGGGAGATCAAAGTAGGTAGTAGTGTATATCAAGTCTATTGGTCTTCCCATCGTACCTTACCTACTTCAGAGCTCAATCCCTGGAATCCCTGGCCCATCTCTGAGCTTTAGGGTAGTAGCTATTCCTATTTATCCCTAATTCATTGTCAAAGATACCACGCCAGCTGCCGGCTTTCCGCGATAGGAAATCCGCAGTGCTCATCTGATGCGCCCCAAGAAAGCCAAATACGGTCATTACCGTACCGTACAGCGATGCCAGAATCCCAGGGTGAGTGTGCGGTAGTTTAACCTTCTGCCCGTCCCTTCCCAGACACCGATCGTCAAGCTTAATCTACTGAGATTCGAATAAACAGAGGGTTTTTTCTGATAGGCGGTGGGAAGAAGCCAAGGCTTAAGAAACAGAAAACCAGGGAAAAAAAAGGGAGCCCTGAGCTACACCGTGCACGTCCTCACTTCCCAATTTGTCGCCTGGCAGATGGAGTGGGCTCCCCATTCCAACCAGTTTCGCATCAGCAAAACGAGGTCCAAGCACTCGGAAATTCAACCACCCAATGATGATGAGTAGAGACAGTGGAATCGTACTGGAGCTAGGAGGGGAACAGAGGTCGAGTGATACTCCATTGATATGATTGATGACGACAACCGTGGAGGAGGTAACAGCTTCAACGTTCTGAACTGTGCCGACATCGTCCAGCGTCTGCATTTTTGAATGCAATAGGAAAAGTCTATCCAGGCAACAAGGATGAGCAGAGTAACCCCCAGCGATCACCTGATACGGCTCCTTGGGTTTGGCAGGTTAAAGTAAAAGGATGAAGTCTCTTCTGCAGTGGTCGGATGTCCGTGCCTTGTGCACAGAAGATCCGGCCCACTTCCCCAGATTGTGTGAAGGAATGAGAGGTTTTATTTCGGTTTTATTTTTTCTCTTTTGTTGCTTCTCCCCGGTCTCGGGGTCAGGTTGAACGAACCTATGTAATACAGAAGAAGAATCACCACACCATCACACTTGACGTAAGACCAGAAGTGCGAGGTAAAAAAGATCGGACGAGGACGCGACTGGTCACAATACTCCCAGACGCAGGGAGCTTCATTCCTCAAAAGGAAAGTGGCCTGCGGTGTCGCTGCCTGGACATCGGCCCATCTCCGCGCTGGTGAGTGACAAGACTGCGCTGGTCAGTAGCGTGGGGTGTGGCGTCCACCTGAGCCGGAGAAGTGTCTATCCTGGCATGCAAGTAATGCAGACATAACACCCGGACGGGGCAATCATGGTCGTAAGATGGGCTTTGTCCGGGTTAGTGGCATTTGTTAGTCGCGTCCTTTCAGTATCAAGTTAGCACTGACAATTTTAGGCGGCCCGGTACGTACCAGCGGAAGGAGTGCGTGCAGGTGGTGAGGTATGTATGTATCGTAACGATACAGACGGATGTCCCGGAAAACTCTATATCGATCATCCACTATACCCTCTCGGCTCTGATGTCTACATGCGTCCTATCCTCACTATTGTGGTAGTACTTCGGAGTAGCTCGATTGAGTTGAATTGAGCTGAGGATTTTCTCTAATGATTCAGGAAGTTTTGAATGGTTGTTACCAAGCGAAGAATGTCCTGACTCCCACCTGGCCAGTTTCCTAGCCATTTCATTATCGGTCGATTGAAAACCAGCCAAATCCACCAGAATCTCAATCTGGACCGTCAAATATGTACGAGCCTCAACTTGTACCGATTATGCACTACAAAGGCATACCCCTGGAGTTCATCCATGCCAGTTCGGACTGGCTTGGATTATGCGTCCATCAAGTCAGAGCGACTCACTTCCCAAGAGGGTAATCAGGATCATCCGCCGTCGTCACCCATGCGATTATTTAGGTTAAGTGGGAATTTCGAGCAGTTGGTTCAATGGGCATAATTGCTTTTTTTGCTGTGTCCATTTCGATGGACTCTGATTTGCTTCGAACATGATTTGATCCGACCTACTGAATATTCCGGGTTCCCTTTCTGATTTTCAACCCCATTATGATTTTCGTTTAGGCTTTCTCTTCCTCGCTTGGACCAACAAATCAGCAGTGGAAATCCAACAAGCTTGGCATTCTTGCTCCCCGCATGGTCAGAGTTTAATGAAGTGCGTGGCAGGAAGTAGAGAGAAAATAATAATCATAATAAAAATGCTTCTCGTAAGTAGTAGTAGTATTAGTAGTAGAAAAAAAATATTGGAAATGGGATCATGGATGGATCACTCTTTCTTAATTCTAAGATTAATTGTCTCTTGTCTCCAATAAGGCCGCAGCATTTCTGCAACTGCCAACTTGGTAATTAGTGTGGCAGTTCAATTTTCTCTTCCCTAACTAGATAATACCTATTAATATTCATCGACTCCAATTGATGATCAGAAAGAAAGTTTGCCTAGTTTGGGTGCCCTGCCTATGAAGATCCACCAGCATGCTAACCACCAGAGCACAGAGGATTGACATACTCCATACTCTACATGTAATTCATCTGACCCTCTCATTCTTGCCTCCAGATCCAGTGCAACGGACTCCAAATTTTATTTAGGGACTAACTCAAAAAGAAAAATAAAAATGAGGGAAAAAAAATATGATTTCTCCTCTCCATGTATCTATATAATTTTTGAATTAATACCTAATTAATATTTATTTCATTCGGGATGTTTCGTAACTACGGACCTACATACGTAGAGAGCTAGTTCACTACTAACTACTCTTATTAAAACCCCCATTCCCATTTCCCAATTTCCCCTCCTCTCTCCACTTGCTAGATAAAATCCCTTTCCAAGCCAACCAAACGAAGCGAAACGAGCAAACAACCCCATTTACCACATCCTCCGATACATGCATATAATCCACTCCGACTACTACTCAAGAGTCCCCATACGAAGATCGACCCATCCCATTAACCATTCCCACTCTGATCCACCACAGCCTATACTTTCACTACACCTGCGAAACTAACTACTACTAAACTTACCAAACCAACATTCTCGTTGACCACCACTAAATCACAGCCAAGTCTAGTTTACTCCCCGCCTAAGGACCTCATCATCAAGCTTTCAGTCTTTCTTTCATCCCCCCTCTCTCCTCTCCGGCCTGTGCATTAATTAAAACCACCTCTTAAACCCAGTCACAGTCACATTCTGTATTGGAATTTTCGTTGCTGCCCCTCTTCTCTGCTCCTCTTCCTTTATCCTGATTGACAACCAACCTCAACCACTCGTGGTGACAACTCTTCCCATAACATTCTGTTATTTCTTACACCACCCATTCAAAAAGGGGGAAAGAAAACAGAAGGGGAAAAAAAAAATAAAAAAATTAAAAGAACATTTTTTTTCCAGCACCTCAAATACCCGAGGTGAATGTTTGGTCAATGTTGTCCATGCAAAAAAGCTCAGCTTTTGTGTTTGCTCCGACGGAACTTGACAGCAGCCACCGTCATCAAGGCAACTCCACCCGCTCGGGCAGTTTTTCGGAAAACCCCGCTCTCGCCGACTGTCCGTTCATAGATGACTCTTCGGTCTCCCATCGAGCCAGTATTAGTACCGATGGCCTTTCTAATGAGTCTCTCGAATCCTGGGACGGCGATGGTCCGTCTGCCAGCTCACCTGTTCCGGAACTGGAGGTGAAGATCCACGACGTGTCGCAGTCGCTCCACTCGACATTCCCTTCCACAACAACCGCGACATTTACTTTCAACATGGTTACATCTCACGAATCTGATGCCTCTATGGATGACGTGACTCCCAAAATCGAAGAGTTAGACGATGCGGATGAGTTGCAGAGTATAAAACCTTTGGCGGTGGATCCGATGGCCAATGCGAATTCGGAGGTCACGGCTACTCCCGTCAATGTTCCACGGAAACGTGGGCGACCTCGCAAACATCCTCTTCCGATTCCTGGAGGCCAACTCAAAATTACCAAAGGTCGTTCCAAGACAGGCTGCATAACCTGTCGGAGACGAAAGAAGAAATGCGACGAAACCAAGCCATCGTAAATTCTCTCCTTCCCTGGTCTTCTCACAGGATCTCTAGATTGTGACGAGTGCGAAAATTGACTAACTATTCTTTGTCCTCTCTCAGTTGTTTGAACTGCCAAAAGAACGCGGTTGTCTGTGAAGGATATCCTAGGAAGGAGGTATGGAAGAGTGGAAAGCAGAAACTAGAAGAATGTAAGTTCTCTTTTTACCCAGTCCTTGCACCTGTACTGCATCCGGTCTCCTTTTCTTCTATGGCTCCATATCCACCGTTACAACAACCTCTTCAATCAACATGCATTCTAATCCCTTTTTTTTTTTAAACATAGCAGCTCGGGCCTGTATGGTCTCTCGCTCCCTTCCCTTCTTGATCGACGGAATTGAAGACGATACCGACCGACGCTTCTTGGACCACTTTGTCTACGGATTCAGTCGCGTTTTGACATTGATTAATGATGACTCAAACCCCTTCAAGGAGATCCTCCTTCCCATGGCTACACAACACCGGGGACTAATGCATTCGCTTATGTGCCTATCCGGCTCACACCTATCGGGACTGGACCCAGAGCCGAAGTTTATAGCCCGAAAATACCACCATTTCCATTGCGCGATCCAAGACCTGCAGCACAACCTTCTTATTAAAGCTTCTTCAAAACCGAGCAACCCGGGAGAGGATCCCGACCTTCTAGTTGAGGATCCAATAATAGCATCGACAATAGCGCTCAGTTTGAACACGATATGTGAAGGTGAAACTAAGGGGGAGTACCGGATGCACATGGATGCCGCAAAGCATCTTCTGAAACACCAGAAACCGAGGAACGAGAAATTTCGGCAGTTCATTGTTGAATTCTTTCAATACCACGATGTTTCCAACTCGGTCACCTCGCTGGACCGACGGCCGGCCCATTTAAATGGCGACCTTAGACTACCCGACTTTGTGCCACATGCACAGGCGGGTATGTTTCTGGGGGTATTCGATGGGCTCTTTAACTACATTTCCGAGGTGACTAGGTTGAGGGACAAGATCAGGCAGCGACACAATGAAGGGTATGAGCCAGCGGTTGACTACCAGATACTAAGTGAGGCCGTCTCCATCGACTCCGCTATCCGGCTTTGGGAAACGTCCTATCCGCCCAACACTGCGAACTGGTCTTTGGCACAGCTTTATCGGCAGTCGACCTGGGTGTACCTCTATCGTACCATTCGCCCTTCGCAACCAGGTGACAAGATAGGTCAAGTGGTGGATGATGGCCTGGCATACTTGGATCAGCTTCCACAGGACGCTGGCGCGTATAGCATTGTCCTGATGCCATTGTTCCTCCTCGGATGCTCGGCGTTCTTGCAGCACCAGCGGGAGCGAATCCAGAAAGGATTCGAAACCCTCAAGTCATACTCCAACCTTCGCAACATCGAACCTGCATTCAAGGTCGTAGAAAAGGTGTGGGAAGTCATGGACTCCAACATCGAAGAAAGTTGGGATTGGGAGAAAATCATCAATGATATGGAAATGGATTTTCTCATTACCTGAGTCAAAATTCGCATTCTCATCTGCATTATTGCATATTGACCGCGTATATCTTCTATCTGATACGACAGTTTTTGGAACGATATTTCGATTTCTTCGATCTGCACTATTCACTATCCATCTAGGGAGTGAGCACACGGCGTTACGTGGCCCATGCAAGCATTTTCTTTTGGTTTTTTTTTTTTTTTTTTTTTTTTTTTTT